TGCTTAGTCAGTGCGGAGGCACGAACACCAACAGTGACGCCTTGAGTCCGTAGGACGCCGGCCGCCAGAGATTGATATGCACCCTGGAGTTCACAGCCTACCGCACGCAGGTCGGAACTGAGAACCCACCGGAGCGCACCTAATCAAAGCTAGCGCAGTATCCAGGACCACTCATGCGACTCGAGACTGACTTGCAGCAACGGGTTAGGCGCTTTTTGGCCCCCTGCATTCCGTTAAACCATTTAATTAGCTCATCTGACGTAGTCATGATGCAGATTGTAGTTTATCGATGATCGTCCGTGCTTTGGTCCTGCGTCCGTCCGTCCGTTCAACAGTTGGGCACAATCTTAAGAACGCTCGGACGTCAGTCACGATTTTGGGAGTGGGGCGGGTATATTCGAAAACGCGATTGGGATGTCGAGAGTGGGGGTTCAAAGAGTGCAAGGTGGCAACGACCGTGTAAAAAGCAGGGATTCTCCTTAACTTAAAGGTTATAGGAGAGGAATGCCAAATTTGACCCGGCACAAATTATAACGGCCTCGACCTAGGTTCGTGATATGTCGTGCGTAATCATCATCATGCGCTACGATAAACCATCACTGTGCCCCCGAAATGGAGGTCACGGGTCAAGGTCAATGGGGCACAGGCAGATTTTAGACATTGAAATGGTGTGTGTCTGAGGACATGGTTAACGGAGCGACGGAAAACTTTCTTGTTGCAGCGGTGAGCCTGTTTTTATGGCTTTATTGAAGGACCTGAATGTACTTTCTGGGACATGTGAAGAGTAAGTGTTGGATAACCTTTGACCTCAGAGGAGGGTTTAAACTCTGGATTTGTTTTTTACTGTTAGAAGCAATTTGACTGCCGCGGTTTGCTTAGCTAGAATCATTACATGCCTGGATGTATGAGAGCTCAATGTCAAGTGAATTTTAAAGCTAAGATTTTGGTTGCAAAAGCGAGTGTATGCTCTAAATCGTTATTTATAGGATTCTGTCTGTCAGTGTGCTTCTGCATGCTAACTATGCCCATGCGTGCATGTGGTGGTGGTGATATTACTGTGTAGTTTTGCTTGCGTTAATTAGTTACAGGTGGCAGCTCTCTATTTCAGCCTGTAGGCTTGCGTAGGTAAATGGATGAGTGCTTACCTATTCTGTCTTGCAAATAGTTGTTGCTACTACGTATGATGGGAGCTTCCATCTTTAATCTTAAGACACTTAAACGTACGCGCCATCTCGTGGCAACTTTCATAACGATCCCAACGAACATTCTTTTGAGAAGGTTCCTGATACCATCCCTGTGCGTTCCACTGTTTCGGCGCATATGTGAACACATTTGAGACTAACAGGGTTTACTAGAATCCCACCACTCCACCACAGAGTCACCGCAGTAGACGTTAGATGAGCGCTGTCGCTTCGCGACACTTGTTTACAAGTAAACTAACATAAACTCACAGATGTCGAGTTTCCGCTTGCGCGCCGTCTCGCCCCCTATCAAAATCCGTGCGCCGGCCTATGGATTCTGCGCACGGATCCATAGCTGCCAGCGCTGCATACTGTCGTAGGGCGTTGCGGAACTGCGCGCAAGATCTGCGCTCAGCGGTTATAGGATCAACATCTCCTTTCGGCAACACTTCTCTGGTATCCCGTCTCATCAGACTTTATATATATTCTCATGGCGACACAGCACACTCGCAGCGGCAAGTGCGGGAGCGTTCGGCGTTAGTTTTTACATAGGTTTTTATGAAGGAAAGTTGATATACAGTGAAGCAACCGTGGAACTGTAATTGAGAGGTACGGTAGTAGGGCCTATTTGTGGATCCACGTTCATAATATTTTTAGTTTTTTACTGACTCTGTCCCAAGTGCCTATGACTCGCAACGCATGCTAGTTGTGCGCAGGCTCGAACCAACAGTGACGCCTGTAGTCGTAGACGCGCCGCAGGATGAATGTATACCCCCCGGTTCACAGCCTACCGCGCGCAGGTCGGTCGTCTATCAAAATACCCTGGCGCCGCCCCTGGGTATTAATAGATCATTGCTATACCTAAACTCGCAGATGTCGAGTTTCCTTCTAATGCGCTTGTCGTGTTTCCAGCGTGAAATGATGCAGACCAAACTTGTATGTTTGAATTTAATGTTGCTGTGTGCGTATTTAGGTGCAAATGCTGTTCCAGATATTCCGACCCAGCCTCTCCAGTGTGTGGTGAGTAGGACCATTCTAATTTTATGCATGCATATATTTTACACCGACATGTAGGGTACAAATTTATAAAGCGATCGTGAATGTATATATTTTATGTCATGAAT